CCACTTTGAGCTGTCTTCATCGCTCCTCTGGTCGATGTCATTGATCAGGGCTTTGTCACTGAAGCACTGAATGCCAATACGTTCCATTTTAAATCGACTGAAATCTTTTTTATATTTAACCCTGAACGACCTGCATACACAAACCAGGAGCATCACACGGGACAGGACACATCTGGTCGATGTCATTAATCAGGGCGATCAGGGCTTTGTCACTGAAGCATTGGCATACAGTCAGTGCATCAGCATTTGCAACTCACCTTAATCATGATTCCTAATCTGAATGCATATTGTCTGCTTTATTTGCTTTTCCTTTATTTATTTTAGATCTGATTACTCTGCATTTTCTGTCTGGAAACTGCCAGATGCAACAATCATTAATGCATTTGAAAGAGTTATGTAAACTATAATAAACAACACGATGTAAATGAGAATTGTTGCCATACCTAAAAATCCCGTTAATCCAGCCGGTGTGTTTGTGGTATAGTTCCTTTCCCGCTGATCCACTCGGAGCTCTTAATTGTATACGAAATGAAGGAAATACTTGTGCGTTCTTTTTTTTTTAAAAACAAGCAGCGGACAGAAGCACCTGTGAGTTGAACGCCGCGTGCTGCTGTAGTGCTGCTATGTGAGAAACCTCGCGCGTCTGTGGGAGCGAGCGTCTCTGGGCTACGCGCATCATCGTTAAATGCGCGCTCACGTTGGTGAACAAAAATAACGTTTCAAAGCTGAAAAACAAACAAAGTTTTAGTTCCAATATTTTGTACAACATGTTTTCACGTCATTGCTGTACATTTTCTTGCATCATGTAACCCTATTCACTTAACAACTTTTGTGTTGGAAGGGTGTTGAAAACGTTCCTTCAAACCAATAATAATCTATTAATCAATCAATTAAAAGCTTATTAAAAATCACAACTGCCCACTTATAAAAACTGGCTGAAAGGAATTACTAACATAATGCATTTAGTGCAAACCTGATGGCTTTTTACAAATTCAATATTTGTATTCATAAATGAATGAAATACAACTATCAAATATCAAACAATGAAAGTGATTGTTTTACAGGCAAAACATGCTCTTATTATTGGCTGTTAACTGATATATGAAAGCCATACTTACCTTTTACAAAGCATGCCCTTTTAGCAAATTCCACAGTGTGCACTCTAGATTTAATCGTATCAAAGCATACACCAATCACACAGTTGGTGGCTCAGTAAAACCAAGGATATAGCCATCCTAAACGATATGCCGACGAGACATCTGAAGATTAAAATAACAGTTTTTTTAGACTAAAACAGTTTGTGTGTATTCTTGTCCTGTAGTTTCCAGGCTTAATACATATATATTTAAGTACTCTCTAATAATATAGTAATTGTCAATGATAATGTTGTGGCACTTTTGTGTTTAAAAAAATATAAAATAGGCCATTCTAAGTTATAATAGACCTGCCAGACCTGTTCATCATGTAATCTGCCTAATCAGCGACCTTTGCTGAGGTTTACATAACTAAATGTGTTTCATTTAGGACAGGTAATCAGATAGCATCTCACGAAAATTAGATTGGAGTGCACTTCCCAGCGGTCACACATGCTGTAGTGTACAGTGACGGAAATAATGAGAAAGACCAGAATATTATCAAATAAAATCACTAAATTGTATCATGTATTACAAGGAGTTACATAAGGAGTGTTTTATGACAGGTAAAAGAAGAAGAGTATTAAAACCTGTCTGCGTGCACAGAGGACAAAACACAGTAGACAGTTAAAGGGTAAGGAAAAAAATCAAACTTGAGTTAATAGATGACAAAAAGCTGTGATATGTTCAGAAATGTCCCTCTGAGTTTCTCTTTCTGCAGTCTGCCTCTCACCAATCTTCAGAGCATCGTCAGCTGTGTGGCAGGATAGATAAGAGGATGATCGATTTGTTTTGCAGCACAGACAGACAGTCAACCTTTCACTGCTCAAATGTAATTACTCAGAACAAGGGGAAAAAGATGAGAGGATATATGGGACAGAGCTGAGGAAAAGAGATACGGTCTGGACATAGAGATACAGATGAGGAAATGATTAATGAAGCAGAGGAGAGATTCAGAGAATAAGGGGGTAATACTGCTTGGTGTGTTTGGTGTCTGGTCCTGAGGAGTTTAAAAGTTAAGGGGCTTACTGGTAATAAAGCCTACCCAGACTCCACCTGTAACATCTGCTGACATCTGCTGGACTCTCTGTGAACTTTTGAAACTAAACGTAGCAAACACTTTTCTTTTTGGCAGCCACTACAAACACTGTTCTTCAGAAACGTCCTATGGCCTTATTTCATTGACTGGACAGAGGTTCAGTTTATTTAACCCAGCAGAGCATGAACTGAACGCCCTCCATTTGTATCCTTTCAGGAACATCGAGCTTTGTGTGCCGCTCTCTGCCTCCAGCCACGAGGTCACTCTCCATCCATTTGTGAACAGCATCCTGCAGGTTGCCATGGTAATTCATTTTAGCAGCAGCATTTCAGGTCAACAAGGAGCACTCGAACACCAACAATGCACATAAAAGGATATCTGTCTCCCTATCCACGTCTATCTGTGAACTGATGTATCGTTATGGAGATAATAAGGTCATCATTTCAACAGCTGTATTTTTGACACTACTGTCACAATATCAGATTTACAATTCAATATACATATACCCCCTACTTGGTACAATTATACCTATTGTGCTATCTTCAGTTATAGTTTGAATATTAATTAACATTAGAAACAGATTTTACAGAAGTATTTTAACATTTCAAATTAAAAACGTGGGGCCAAATCTTACACAGTGCTTAAAGGTGCACAAAATGAAGAATGGGGATTATACCCACTATCTACCCACTTTGCAGTCTCTCAAATAGGGGACCATTTGTACTGTCAGCATGAACAGGAATAACATTAAGAGAGACCATTATAATTATACTAGCTTTGTTTTAAGATTTAAATTATTTTTGGAATTCTACATTATAATTAAGGAACATACAAAGAGCATGAATAATATGGATACACAAGTGAAAGTGTCTCTGCAAAACTTTCTTAGTGGTTTCCATCACAGCATGTCATTAAACTTTCTGGCACAGTGAGAACAGATTTAAGCCAAAGACGCAGCAAACAGCGGGGTCTCTTCCCATCATGCACCTCTTCTGTGCTCCAGTAAGTGGCATCTATTAAATGTCCAGGTTTTGTGAGTTTTTGTTGATAACCAGCACCATGTGCTGTGGCCCAAACTCCCACAGCAGCCACATGATACAAAAAAAACCCTCAGTTTTTAGAAACTGTAAAAGGAGCCGTGGGTGATTCTTTGAATCAAAACCAAATTTCTTGTGATGCTCACTCTGTCCAAAAAAATGATTTACTCGCACTTGTGAATAGAACAAAAGACAAAAGACAGTTATGTCAACAATAAGATATAGTGTATTAAAGCAGATTAAAAGTATTCAGACTACAGCGCATGTAAGCACACATGTTAAATCAGCAAACAAAAAGAGTGCATGGACTGATGTGTTTGTTCGAGTTTATATACAATGGAGTGAAATCTGAGAGCATTACTTTATGAAAGTGTGAGTGTAATTATGTCTGTGTGTGAGAGAGAGGTTTTAACACATAGGTAAGCCATATTCTCAAAGTGCCTTTACAATACTACAGATGGTACAAAGGATGTGGTGTGGAGGACAGAGGGCCGCAGAGAGGAGCAAAGCTACAAAGAGAGCGTCACCTAACCTCCGTCTGATGTGTGTGGTAGTGTGTGATGATCTGTGTGTGGGTGAGCATGCTTATGAGAGTGTGTGTCTGGAGGGGGCAGAGGGCGAGCCTGAGCGCCGCTGATGGTGTCGGATAAAGACGGAGTTTCCACCACGTTGTCTGCTGGATACAGCTGCATCATCCCCCCCTCCTGGCCGCCCTCCTTAATGCAGGGCTGGCAGCTGCAGAAGAAGATCCTCTCCACCAGCTTATCCACGTGAGGAGACTCTTTACTGCCCGGGCAATCCAGAGTCACCTGTTCACACACACATGCATTTATGTTAATACAAATACATACGTCATACAGACAGAGAGAACAAAGGAGAGAGGGAGAGATAAAGAGGGTTTTCTTTTCATATCAGGAGTTACAAAGTAAATGGCCACCGGAATCCTGATCTCATGAATAGAAACTGAACTTTGCATTTGGCCGAATTGGTACTGAAATCCAACCCTTTTTGAATGTTTGGCCTGACACGACTTTTCATATCTTTGAGGATGGAGGAAATATTAATTAATGTACAACTTCCATAAATCGTTTTCGAATGTATTTTCCTGCAAAAAACTATTACTTATGTTACACACAGTAATTATACCAACCGAATAAATGTTTTGTCAAGTAATAACAATTAAATTGTTGTAAATCACGTTTAACTGGTATTTTGTGTTTTTTTTTTTTAAATGTAAAGTTTCTGAGAATTGTAAATCTACCAATTGTATTTATAAAAATGGGTGGATTTTTATATTTTCGGATAACTTAAATTGTTATTCTTAAAGTTAAAGTTGTATTAAACTGAGTTTTTTGAGCAACTGTTGCAGTATTATAGGTTACCATTCGTCTGAAGGGTTGCCTTTATGTGTTTACATAATTAACACCGACAATAACTGTTCAATTGGTAAGAAAAAGGAATTTTCCATTTTATTCGGGACGTGTATTTTATTTGGTGGTTTATATACTTCATATTTATTGAGATAATCAGATTTGTACACTATGTACATATTTGTATATGTGGATTGATGAGTGGATGTGTTTTAGGTCAAATTCTTACTCCCTACTGTTGTATTTGATTGCCAAGAAAAAGACTGCACGAAGATTATATTCTTACTAAATATGAAATAAACAGAATATATAAAACCTCAGTGTTGCACAAGCTCTTCCAGACCTCACACAACTTCCCCTCACTGTTTCCATTATTCATTGAAAATGATCATTCAGCAGTTTTATCTTAATCTACCACCAAGTGCCAAAGCAGCATGGAGCAGTATCCTCTTTCATGAGAGCTGACTTTGTTTTGCTTCAAACTGAATTTTGTTTAAAGTCCTGCAACAACAATCATAACCACAGACATAAACATCAATTTTCAGATAATTAGAAGTAAGGCGAGACCGTAAATGTGATTTCTCTAGAACTGCTGAAGCTAAAAAAATAGTTGGAAGATTAATTAATCCATCAGGTAACAGCGTTGCACTCCAAGAGATACAATATTTCCAACTGAAACACGAGGCGGGCTCACCTGTGGTCCCACCCGCCAAGTCTACCTGGCAGCTCTCCAAACGACATACACCTCACTACAGAGGCTTTGTTGTCGAAAGACTGGATTCCTTCTGGCTAACAGGGACAATGAACTTTAGAGGAATATAAATACAGGATGTAGGCCCATAGGAAACCGCAGACATTCTGACATAAATCTATTCAAAAGTCTCAATTTCTGTGTTTCTTATCTGCTTTGTGCAAGCCAGTGAACAGGATTCTTTTATGTTGGCAACCTGTGGTTTTGCATGGGGGTTCGACAGACTGGTGCTGGTGTGCGCTTGCTACATTAGCTAATGGTGTAATAAATCTTACCACTTCCCACTGTGACTCGGCAGGCATGCAGGAGTCACAGTGCACCAGGGATTCGGTTGACTGTGGGAAAGTGTTGGGGACGCTGTAGCTGAAACACTGGCCCAGACAAGCTCTGTGAGGAGGACAAAGTGCATTATTACATGATTAATTGCACAGCCAGTCTGTTCATTCCTGTGTAACCTGGGGATGTCTGGTACCCTCAGGCCAAAGACAATATCTGGAATGTTTTACATAAAACCTAAAGGGAAGAAGTTCTTATAATGCCAGGTAAATGTGTAAAGCATTGAATTGTATGTCTGCATCTGCTGCTGCTGCATGATGAAAACAGTGGGCATATCATGTTATAATGACAATACAGCAAGGACTTTCCATACTAGCAAGCCCGAAATAGCTTATAGCTTCATTGTTCTCCAAAAATGTATAAAAACACATTACTAAGCTACTGGAGCCCACTGCTCCTGGTACTAGGATGGGTTAAATGTAGAGAACACATGTCACTGTGTGTGTGCTGTGTGCTCTGCATGTGTGACCATTAAAGAGGGTTTCTTCCCTCCAATTCTATTGGTGCACTGGAGACATGAATATCTCTCCTGTGTAAATACTCCCCAGAGCAACAAATAATCTCCTATATTTGTGTTCTACTCCTGTTGAGTATGTTAGCTAAAAGGTACAGAAATTCAGATATCCTCAGTGTTACCTCTAAGACCATGCCTGCAGTTTCCTAACATTCTTTTATATTTATTCAATGCAGTTTTCCAACTATGCAGGCATGATTAACATTCATTTTGAGCAAGTTTAGAAATCAACATGCAGAGTTGAAACTTGCTCGGCATAGTGTGAGTAGTTTGTTATTTATTCAAGCTTCACACTGTACTTGTAGGGTTATGGAAGGATTAGCTCTGCCTCACAAATGTCAACTCACTTGATTTTATCTTTGAGGATGCAACATTATTGACATCTAGACATTCTGCATTATTCACTTTTTGAGTTGCAGAGAAATTGTCAGACAGAGAAAGAAAGAGACAGAGAGGGCCTTCATCCTGACCTGTTTTGAATAGAGCGAGGCTGACATCCTGTGTGCCCGACTATCTGTGTGATGTTCTTGGCCTCGCACCAGGCGCTTTTGTCAGGGAACAGCGCCAGGCGGTTGATGTGGGCAGGCGGTGCCGCTGAATACAGTGCAAACAGTGCCCAACAAATCTGAATCCTCTGCCACATGACTGCACCTAAAGGGGCGTAAAACCAGTCAGCAAGTTAACGCTCTGTTAACCTTGTTCCACACAAAAACACAAATTACAAAAACTAGTGCCACTGATCTGATGTTGCCGAGCTGTACAGTACATTTTGGACTTCACAGATCCACGGACATGTGGATTGGCAATTTCCTGGTGATTAGTAGCTTTCATGTTTGGCTCATTATGATTAAAAGATACTTCTTAATGGCCTTTATGTATCACCAGCGGCAGAGAGAACATAATGTGTTAATATTGTACCAAAAGAGACAATACGATGGGGGAGGGAGGCTAAACTGACTCTAATACCAAGTCTGCTCTGTTTCATTCTCTTCTTTAAAAATACCTCAACCAGGCACGTCATTTACAACCTACAAAATCGTTTTCTCCTGCTGCTTATAAAAAAAGGTGTCTCATGGTCACCCACGTCGACTACTTCACACATTTTTTAGCACTTCCAAATGTCTCTGACACAACAAACCATGTCTATGACCATAGACCATGTCCATGAGGGTGAAGACTTAATTGAAATAAAAAATATAAATGTACCTTTTCTATGTTTTTTGAAAAACTTCACATCTCAAAGTTTAGGCTAACATTATGTTACTTTCTTTAATCCCAGCAGACACTACAAGACTAAGCACCTATAACCAGAGGTGGAAGAAATACTCAGATTATTTACTTTATTTGTAATATAGTGTAAAAAGACTCTGTTAAAATTAAAAGCATTGCATTATAATTTGTACTTAAGTAAAAAAGTATTGGCATAAAAATATACTTTAAGTACCAAAAGTGCAAGTTATACAGAATGGACCATTATCATCAAATGTTATTTTATTATTGTATTACAAATTCTTGGAGCATTAATCTGTGCTCTTCAAAGTTGTACTTTGTTAATAGTGGGGTTTAATTGAATTACTTTATAGTGTACTGTAGTAAGTACAACATTTGTAAAGAGTAAAATATAAAGTAGTTTAATTTGAAAATAAAGTAAAGTAGCTACAAGCTACCTCAACATTATACTCAAGTACAGTATGGCTACTTCAGTAAATGTACTTACTTTACACCACTGCGTATAACTCGTGCAATACATTACCCTTCCAAATAGGCTATGTAGCGAGTTTTACGATAAAAAAAACTACTTGTTTCCCGGACATATTATATGGCTTAAGATTCAATTAGATTTTGAACAATTGTATAGCCGCAATCTGTCACAGGACATCAGCTCCCAGTAACGTAATGAACATTAACGCCGGCCACGGTTCTGTTTAACGGCTGATAGGCCTACATGTTAAAAGATTTCAAAATCTTATTTTGTTCCCATTCTTTTATTCTCACACTTTAATAATAACATATTTAGTCGCCCAAAGTGATATCCCCCCGGCGAATTACGGGGTTTCCTTCGAGTAACTTCCTTTATTGATACTGTCTATGGTTACTTCGGAAGATGGGAGAAATTGTTCCTTCATTTTTAAACAAGTGTCGCAGCTAAAGTAGACTTACGGATGAAAACTGGCTAACCTAGCTAACGGTTGGTAGAAAAACGACTGTAAATTGAGAAGTTACTTCAAAACTTTAGTTAAAAGTAGTAAAGTAACTTCCTGAGTAACGTGCTACAGAAGTGGTCTTACTAGAGAAACTTACCAACACTGACTCTACAGGAAACAGCCGGTTGAACACAGCGCTATGTCCCGCTGAGCTGATCGAGCCCCCTCACCGAAGCCTGAGGATGCGGGTTGCGGAATACCTTCGTGCGCTGATAATCTCCAGAAATATATGAGCACTTGGTCAGCTGCAGGAATACTTCAGAGCCCAGTCAGTCATAAAAGAGTTACATGCATCACCCGGGAAGAAAAAGAACCGTGCGTCCGACGGGGAAGGATGGGGAGATGGGGTTAGTTATGAGCGCTATCTCATCCCAGAGTCCATCAGACCGTCCCTCCCCTTTGTTCTCCTCTCGGCCAGTGTTAAATTCTCTCGTAACTCCACGGAAAAATACTTTCCAAGTTGTTGTCTTTTGTTGTAAAACTCTGTAGCCGGGGTTAGGCGCGGTTGAGCCCACAGACTGGAGTCCTGCTGTGCTGTTTCTGGACGAAAGAAGACGGGGAGGAGGAGGGGGGACTCAGGGGAAGGTTTGAAATGTTTCCCAAAGTATAATCGAGGCGAGACCCCAGATCAGATTTACAGGGCATAATGCAAATATCATAAGATTACAAAATATTTACAGCCATGCGTTAACTTTGCAAAGAGCCTACATATGTCATTGCTTTACTAGCCTATGTTTTTTTTTCGATATACGTTTGACATTGTGAACATGCAATGCAAGCTGTAAAGCAGATGTGAATCAATGCCCTGATACATTTCTCTGATTCCTTTAGGAAATTATATCAACAGCAGGTTAACCATAAACTCATGACAACTTGATCTAATTAAGGCCCCTCAATATGTTTGGAGTGAAACCACAGACAGACTCATGAGCACGAGTTGCTTCAAGGCATGATGTTGTTCCCTGGTTTTGCTGACCTGGGAGTTCACCCCTTTGAAATCTTATTTTAAAAGGAATACGGGCAAAGCTATTGGCCGCTTAATATTATGATACACAATTCAGATCTTTGGGCAAAATGTAAGTGTTTTCTCTGGCTCCAAATAACTGTCATTAGCAGTGTTTTCAGCACGAAAAAAAAAATAAAAAAATAAACTGATTACAACGACATACGTAAAGTAAAAAGAAGAGGAAACAAAAAATACCAATGACAACTATCAACAACAGAGGGACATTAAAGAAGTCCAAACATTATATGTTTAAGAATTAGTTGGCCGAAAGATTTGTCTTTACTTTAGCCTATATATATATCTTTTTTTTTTAAAGTAGATAATAAAAGCAATCACAGGGACCTTTGTTGTGCATTACATACTTTTAATACCAATAATTTAGTTATTCATAATTCTACAAATACTTTTGGCTTACAGACATTTGGTGTTTTTTTATAGTGTGGTCTATGTTTGAACACAAAGATCTGAATACGTGAGCATCAGTAGCTCAAAGCTCGAGTCATGCAGCAGCACACAAGGCATGTCTGGTCTTATATTTCATGCCAGACCTTCACCAACACTGACTGGACCGTTTTGAGTTATTAAATGAAAACATTTTATTAGCATTATTAGACTTGTAATTATGATTCACCAAGGAGACATTTCAGACAGGCACAGACAAGTATGGCCTATGGGTTTCGACTGCCTTGTTACATCTCAGCGGTGTCACTGGTCCCCCTCACACACCCCATTCCTGCACTTCATCCTACCTGCCTACAGGTGTTCAGCCTGGCTTGTGTCCATAAGCACCCCTAGCTGCCTCACGCTCCACTTGCAAACAAATATTTTAATGGACAGGGGACGAGTGACATGGCTTAATTTCTGGCTTTGCTCATTATGTGCTTACATTGCTGAGAAGGCTGTTACTGTGATGGAGAGGGAAAATGTGAGTGTGTGTGATAGTGAATGCACGCATGTGTCAATGTTTTCTTTGATGTGAAGTGTAAACCATGTGTTATGTTCAGAGTGCAAAGTGCAGAACTCACCTGTTAGTAATAAGACCGAGCTCCAGTCCAGAAAAGGCATTCCTCTGCATTCCACAGATTCTGCTTCACCAGGGGGTTGGATAAACGTGTGCGCCTGCAAACGCTCACACAAACAATCCCTCTTCTCTCATAGCAGGCCCACGCAACTACACATAAGTGATCAATCACACTCAAAACAATCTCTCCAAACAGACTGACGGCCAACGAATACACAAGATGTCAGAGATTCTTCTTGATATGGAGACGTGTGCTTTTCTGACTCCCTGTGAAGAAAACAGTCACAGCAAACACACTTGTCCAACAGGACTGCAAAATGATTGCATACTGCGTAAATCCTTAATCTAGCTTAAGTTAAACTTGGGCTTTGTTACTTAGGAATCAACCCATTATGGTATCGAAAGAAACACACATCTATAAATGCGAAATCCATATGAACTAACATACCTTTCTTTCTATGCATTAGTCTCCCACAAACTGTATGTTCTTCTTTCTGTGCAACTTTTCATCCTCCCACTCTCCAACAGGGCTGCAGATGCTGAACCTGGCCCTCATTCCAAAACAGCAGGAGTTCAAGTCTCCCAGCTCATTAACAAGCACAATTGCGTCCCACCCCAAACCACATTTCGTTCCCCTCAGAAAAACACAAAGAGAAAGAGAGAGAAACAAAGACAGATTTCCAGAATTGCTTTATTAAATATACACTGACTGCCACTTGATACACACAATGTTCGCATCATTGATCATTAGTGCTAGGACAGAAATGAGCAGCAAAATAACAACAAAAACAGACAAGCTTCTTCGTGGCAAATCCTAATCATCTGTAGTCCTTCATTATTGGTCCTGTAAATAAGCAAACAAATATTGTTAAAAAGTATGATCAGTGCACAAACCTTTAGTAAATAATACATGTCATACACTCTGCTTACCTTAACCATGCTGCCATGAACCAGGTATGGTGATCTTAAGTCATGCTGGCAGTTAGCGTATCCCATGCCCAGTCCCAAACCTGAACCAAGTGAAACAGGCCATGTGCGACCTGAGGGAGAAACTCAACCATAAATTATGTTTAAAAGTAAAAAAAACATGCATTTAAAAGTCTATCTTAAAAAGGAGCACTTACGTTTGAAGAGAACGACAGAGAACAAAACACCAAGACCAAGGCCAGTAACTGCAAAAAGTGAGAGAATAACAAAGTAAGAGTGCTGTGATTAAAATACACTTCCAAAAAAATATTTCACTTGAGCACTGAGGTAATGTGATCATGTCTGATCCAACATAAAAACTAGCTGGCACAGATTTAAATCTGTTGTAATGAGGTCAATGGGGTGCCGCTATTATGTTTGATGCAAGAGTTGGTAAATAGCACAAGTTAGCAAGACATTGCTCATTAGGAAAAGAGAAGGAGAGAAAAAGCAGAAAGAGCACAACCTTCCAAGAAAGAAAGAAAATATTAAAAAGGGGTGAAAGGGAGGGGGAAATCAGCTAAAATGAGGAACGACAGTGTCCATGAGGCTGAAGTACAAAATAAATGTAGGTCAAAGAGTGCAAACATGTGCAGGTAAGCAATGTCTTGAGCCAGTATGGTCAAGCGGAAGGTAAGTCGGTGGCACAGGAGTTGTTTGAAGTGTTGAGACCGGAGTGGGATCTTGAGGAGGAATGTGTTTGTGCGTTTAACTTCACCTCGCTGCAGGACACACCACACCCAACAGCAGGCCAGCCAGCACAGAAAACACATTAAAAAAAAACATCTATTTGGGCCCCTCCGACTCTTAATTGGATTCAGAGAGCTATGCAGCATGACCGAACCAGAAACCTCAGACTGTTCTCTATTACACAACTTACAAATGTAAAACAAGACCACAAAAGACCCCGCACGCCCTCACTATCCTTGCAGATCTACAATAAATCATTTTCCTCTGCGTCCATTTCAAGCAGAGATTCAGTTAGATTTAAGGTTCTCCGTCTGTTGAAGCCTCAATGTTTCTTTACTCTTGAGCCAGAGCCGTTTTCAAGTCCCATGATGTTCCACTGAAAGTAATACAGTTAAAGCATTGGCAAAATATGAGGGCTGATCAACATCTCCTTTTGGCCTCTATTCTATTTGTCTGGACGTCTTCAAGTTGGATAGATTTGGGATGTGAAGTAGAATGAACTGTATAACCCAACACACTGAACGTACTCCCAGAAACTATGGTATTGTTTTTCCTTTGTTCATTATCTAAAGTCGTTTTTCCAAGTGCTTTGGGAACGGGATCACTAAAGACATTTATTTTCAATCACTTTGACTTAGTGAAATATTTTCACTTTAAATTAGCCTTAATAAACAATAGCTGTGACCACTTACATGCATGCATCCACACACGTTCACACACACACACACACACACACACACACACACACACACACACAACAACCACATATACACACACACACACACACACACACACACACACACACACACACACACACACACACACACACACACACACACACACACACACACACACACACACACACACACACACACAACATTTGACCAACTTTCAGCCTCAAAGGGTGAAAACAGTTTGCTGCATGTATGGTATAACAGACATTGCAATTTTCAAATGTAGGGTTAGGATTAGGTATGTTTCTTTGTACTGGAGGGGACCATATTTGCACAGCTTGAGTGAAAAATATGACTAAGTGACAGTCATACTGCAAATGTAAAGTAATATAACTTATGTATTTTAATTGTGCAGCCCTTCTTTCTTATGACTATTTTATTTCCAGTTTCCAGAGGAATTGGTTGAAGTACGTTTTGTTCCACCACTTTGTTGTCAGTAAAGCTCATCATCTAAAATATGAATTGCCACATAATTGTTTTAATTTAGTGCCATCTTCAGGTCAACATGTATTTATTTACTTATCTTTGAAATACTTTTGTAATTAAAAAAGACATTCTTGTCAGCCTCAGCTTTGTCGTTTATGCTAATTGGCAAATACTAGCATGCTAAATGCTATCCTAAGTAAGTAAACATGGTTAAAAATACTACATTTTAAACATCAGTGTTAGCACTGTCATTTGGAGCGTGTTAGCAACACACATGCAGTGAATATTATTACTGTCTCACTAAAATACTGTTGACTAGTTCCTCAAATTAAATGGCATGTTTCAAATAAACAAAGTTGTTTCCTGTTATGAAGAGGATGTTTCTGATTGTCCCCCTCTCTTAATGCAAATGCAATTCACTCTTCACAAAAAGAAGTTGGATTTGACTTCTGTCTTCACTTCTATCACTGGCCAGTGTTTATTTATTTGGCTCTTTTCATTTCCTGTACAGTGCAATCCCTTTATAGGATATCCAACAGCTTTACCACATAATCTAAAGCTGTGGCACTAAATATAAAATGTAGTGAAGAGGCACCAGAGGAAACCCACCTTTTATCTAATGTCATGGTCTTGTTTATGGTACTAGTGCCTGATACTGTGGGAAACATGCTTGTCAGGAACCGGCCGATTGCTTGGCCTGTGGTATTGCTGCTTGCAGTTTTTTTAATCAACTGCTTACAAAAACCTCTTTACACTTGACACTAAGAAAAACATTTGCCATAACATAGTTGCGTCCCACCCCAAAGGTCGTGGCTACTCACGATTGGAAACAACGTTGAAATAAACTAACGGTAAAAGAAGCGTTTATCAGAAATACAAAAAAATAGGCAACTGCCTTGGCCCCAAACTAAAAAGGCCCATAAACAGCTAGATCGGTTTTTAATTTGTAATATAATTTAAATTACAAATATTGAATTATGTTACTGTAACTTGTACCACTAAATTACCTAGTAAAAGTTTCCCCAAGCCCACAATTCAACAGGATACTACTACTGTGCCCTTCTACTTCAATGGATACCATTGTACTACTAAATGTACCTCACAGAGAAATGTTTCTGGTTATATTGCAGATCACATTTAACACATTATTAATTCAACTATCAAGAATTGTTTTAGTGCTCTGCCTTGGCGTTATTAGTGGTATAAGTTAGTAAAGCAAATGTAACAAACTTTTATAGTCATTATTCTTATCTGCAGGACAATATGACAAACAAATAGTTTTAAAAAAACTATTTAGAGTTCACAATATAAAAACAACCATTTTGCAATGGCTGAGTGGCAGAGTTACTGTGGGAGTTAAGGTTAGAGTTATGTTGTATGAATAATATATTCAGCATCCTGTCCATGAGGGCCCATCTGCTGCAGACGGCATGTTTGACTCATAGACTGGTTTGACTCCGCAGGGCCTTGATGCCCCGCCACACGCTGCTGCACAGTTCACTTTTGTTCCCATTTATTATTATTGAATGTATTGCATGTCCAAAAGTCACTAAATTTGACAAGGCATTTCTTGGTACCCCCTGGCAATACACCCACCAAGTTTGAAGGCCTGAGAACAACATATGCTGCACAGTTTCTCTGGCTACCAGAGACACCTTGGCACAGCTGGCAGTTTGCTACACGGTGAGCTCAAAGAAAATCTACAGTGCAGATGTTTTTACTCACAGCGAGAACATTTTTTCATTGTTCATAAGTTGACGTCATTAGGTTTATTTTGGGATAGATTGTTTGCCAGTCCAAGTATTTGAGTGCTGGATAAATGCTTTTCCAAATAACCATATGAGCTCTGCATTAAGACCCTATGAGGATGTTTAATCAGAGATGACAGGTTGAGAGATGACCAGAGACAATAGAGGAAACCAATAATCTATTATTTTGAATACGACTTGATTTTTGCCCCAGTTTATTTTGCAGTGTAACTGATGGAACACTAAGCTTTAACTATTGTGTGGCCCTTATATTTGTCCGTATATGGCCTACAATCCAAAACGTTTAAATGTGCAGTGATTTATCAGATTTCGCCATTTTATAGTGTGCATTTGATTTGACTTCAGCCTCAGCACCTCAGTCCACCTACACAAAACAGGTGCCTTTGTTACTGTGTAAACCCTTTATGTGGGCTAGAACCATAGGCTAGAACCTCAAAACTAAGAAGTTTTGACGTAATGCTCCTTACGGTAAAATATTGATTAAAGGATGAGAGGAGACACCCTGGGAATCAGGACAATAAGTATCAGGATGATGTAGGCAGAATTAACCTTTACTCTGTCTACCGATGACTTTGTTCACATCTGTACAGTCTGTTAGTCGAAACACAGACTCTAGCTTGTACCTTAAGGATGTCTCCTTTGATCATATACATTTCCCCCTGAAATAATATAACTGATCAGTGTAATAATGTCCATTTAGCAGACAGGTTTACATTTGACCTCAGTAATGTCCCTGCATGGTGACAGATGTCGCGGGAAAAGGACCTCAACTGAAGTGCAGCACGACTTATTTACAGTCTGTAATAAGCTGCAGAATACCTAATGACTGCATTAATAATAACGTAACAGATATGATGACATATTTACCTGTTTTCACGGCTGTATCAGCAAGACAGCGGTCCCATTTCCGTCCATGTACGTCAGCCATGTTTTCAGCTGTAAGGAGGAAGCTCCGTAAAATATCGCGAGAAATGAAAATCACGTGAACACACCCCACCACCACAGCCTCATTGAAGTATTTATGCACTGTCAAACTACAAAACACATCAGCATTGTTGTGTTCTTTAACCGTTAATTTTACTCAGCTTCTTAAATAACATTTGACCATATAATAGGGTATGTGAGGTAAGGCCTACTCGATGAGTCTAAACCTTCCTGTTTTGAATTTATATATAAATTACATAGGCTATTAACCTATTAGATTATTGTCACATTATTTATTTTTTACTTTGACATCATTTTCAAAAGTATTTATTCCTTAAATAAGCTCTTGAAAATGAAATTGCTAACTTTTCTGGTTTCCCAGGTTGTTCAACATCAGTGTTTTCGGTAAAAGTTCTTCATATCACAACATTTATTCGTAATATTGCACATCAGATACTGATCTGAAAACTATAACTACTATGTTCCAATTCAAAGTTATACGCAACAATAATATAATGTAAAAAAATACATACCTTTCGATTAGCGCCCATTTCCTTATGTTTTTACTGGAAAATAATCTAGATGTGGCATATTTTGAGAAAATAATTTGAGCCACACCTTCTTTTAATCAAAAACATGACTTGTTCTTCAAAAAACCTTTGATAACAAATCATTTTGAGATTGTTGCTGGATTTCTTCTCTCATGAAATGTAGGCGGACATCCTTTCCACTCAAAGTCAATAATATACAGATGTCTAAAGGCAGGTTTCCCATTTACAAACAATCCAGGATGCAGAGGAGCTTCAGGGTGGAAAGAAAATATGGTTTATGTCATAAAAGCCTTGATATGGAGAATGTTCTAAACAAATAAGAAATATTGTTGAAAAATAAATAGGACCGGGTCCTGAATGCCTGTTCTTTATGACACACCTCACAATAGTTAACCCCAAGACATATGGCTGACATAGACACAGTGAAAAACATGAACCCTGACAACTGGAAATGGGGACAACTTATCTTTCCACCCAAACATACAAGACATACAGTATGTCAGAAGATATGCTTGTAAAAAGGGTTTGGACAGAAATAAGGGTGGAGAATAGTCAATATTAAAAAAAATTATGACCTCTCACAAATATCAAGAAACAAAAGGGTCTCAATGCCCAATCATAGCAGTTTTCTTTGGCGAAGCACCTTTTTTTCTAACTCCATCATTTCATATTGAAGACAAAATGTAGAACGATAAGCTTATATGGCAAGGCTCTTGTGGAGAAAACAAAAGCCTTGCAATATTTTATGGATTTATAACCTAAAAAATAACTCCAATAATGTTTAATATTAAATAATGTATTAAAGTAATTAACGGGTATTCTGTTTTCTTACCCTTAACAGAAGATCCAAATGTTATATGATTGGTGGTAAATTGGGTTAAACATATTTTGTATTCTTGATAATATACATATCACATCAGAAAGTATTGCTACAAAACAGAAGAGAAAAAGAGTGATCCGTAGTTTCTATTCCTTCACACAGTGTACATGTCTGCCTCACTGAGTGCATATTTTCTGCACCACTCCTCTCTTTCCATACTTGGCAATGCCTTTCTTGCTCCTTCGCTATTGGCTGCTGCAGAGAAAGCCCGGAGTGACCCGGACATGCAATCGGGCCTGTTTTCTATTACACACCTCCTTCCTGTAGCCCGGTTGAGGAAGTGAATTTCGCTGACAGGGCTGGGTTCAGTGAGGGAGAGGCGAACAAAACATCTTCCGCGGGGGACTAAAAAAACACAACAAAACAAAAGCAGACGAGCGAAGAGATTTGATAAGCCACTGCAAAACTAAGGTGTAGAGACATCGGTGAAATCTTCCTCCCCTGCCCCGCTGAGACGCTGCAGACATGGTAAGGGCCGAGAGAGACGGGAGAAGAGGGTTTGGTGGCGCTGCTGCTAAAGAAGCGTCAACGGCTAAGCTAAGCTAACGCTAGCTGGAGCTGCTGGGTGGTAACCTGAGAGCAGAGGCACCAAGGGGTTCAAGTGTATAAATCACCGATGCATATCTTTCTTGCACTGTTGGCAACACTTCTGCGTAATGGATACGGATGCATTAGCTTCGCAGCTAAGCTAGCAGTTGTTTCTTACTGATAGTTAGCTAGTAGCTAGCCGTTAGCCAAGCTAGGTGCCCCGTAGGCATAAAGTTAGCACAGGATGTTTTGGATTTGACACAAGTTCGTGAGTTGTATCAGTGAAGAAGAGTCCTAATATAACGTGTGCACACACACATACACACGCAAACACACACGATCCTCCAGACGCGCACAACACACGCACATACAGGCTAATATAGTCAAGCGCCGGGTTGCCTGTAGCTAAAATAAGACTACTTGCTCCTCCTATTCCTAGACTAGCTGTCAGCCTACTCTCTTAAGTGCTTTCTGCCTTGTGAGTTTAATCTAGACTTGACCAATACTTTCTCTGGGAAATGCTCAACTCTGACAACCCTACAATATCATACCTGCAATCATTGTTTACACCTTGCTTGTTTTTGAACATTTTTCTCATTCCTCAATCTCATATGCTTGTAGCATCCCTTTAATTGAGCATGCATTTAAGTTAAACAAAAACAAACATTTGACCTCGACTATTGTAGCATAATGAAGCAACACTTGCTTTCCCACTGTTTAAACTGTGTTTGGTAGTACTTTCATTTGGTGACCTAGATTGTCTTGTGCTTGAGTTGGGAGGAGCAGCTGGTTTCTCTCTACAGTCGCCCACTCTCCTGGCCTCACCTCATCCATCCTGCTGGCTGAGCCCTGACCCCGGGGGTTGTTGGTCTGAGCTAGTGTTTACACGGAGACAGGAGCGCTGGTAAACACTGTGTCAAGGAGTGCAGGTGTCTGATGGTGCAGACTGATTCATCAGCTGAGAAAGATGTGTAGACAGGCAAAAAGCAACTCTGGGGAGAGGAAATGGCACGGGAGACATTGCTTAGAAACTTCTGTGATGTTCAGGGTCACCCGTAAGGGGAAATGTTTATGGAAAGAGGGTTCTCTACTTTATAACATGCCATGGTCCTTTGTCCAGCCCTCAGCAGTAAGAGTATACTGTTAGGTTTACTTTATGTTACTTCATAAGTAAACCAAGGCAGAGGGTTTTTCGACCTCTTAAAGGAAAGAGAATTAAAAGGGTAAAGCAAACATCTATTGCTATGGTGCTATTTGGGAATTAGATTTAAACACAATTAATTCTGACTAATTTCCAAAACAAAATGTTATATATTCATATTTCTTCATTCTTCTTAGAAGTGAACAGTGTTTGTTTGTCTCTTATGGAAGAAAACAATTATTTCAAATGTCAGGATTTTAACTCTGGGCTTTCATAGCCATAGTAACGTTTGTAATAACGTGTTGAATGTTTTTAGAATGTAAGTTGGGCTACTTATACAACACCAACATGAACTAAAATGTAGGTATTGTAATATTTTGTAGTTATCTTTAAGTCTTACATAGCCACGCCTATCTCCACGGTGCTGTGTCAGGGCGGGCCGGGCTCTAAATATTGTCATTCTTGTTAAAAAAAAAAAAAAAAAAGCCCTTTCTTGAAACCATTCACAGTTGTCTTAGGCGTTGCTAAGCACAGAATGCTGTGTTGGGGCCTTTGCAAAGTAGACAAGGCTGTGTAAGAAATGGCAGGCTTTTACCCACAGTCTGCTGAGTAACACTGCAGAAGAAGTGACTTTAATGTTATTGTCTGATAATGATTGTGGAAGAGCCAGTTATAGACCAGGGTTAGATGAAAAACAAGTCTTGGCCCTCTGCTATCTCTCAACTTCCTACATCTTCTTACACATTCCCCAGAGTTTCATGTCCTGGCTGGTCTGTCCTCCCCTGCTCACTTATATCCGGTTGCTCAGTGCTGATTTTAGGGAGAAACCCCCAGGGAAGGCCTTGCTATGCAGTGTCCTCTCTTATGTGCCTTTTTGCCTTTCTTAAGAAAATAAAACTATTTTACATGTATTCATCTTAAAACTGCTGCACAACAAAGAGACCATCACAGTTAAAGGGATTACTTTTTTGAAGGAATGTTTTCTACTGGATACAACATACATGAACATTAATCTGAAAGAGTTAAAGACTGGTTCTGCTGCTGCTTTACAAACTGTAGTTTATCAAGGACCATTTTATCCAACATGTGTTGAGTGACTTAGTATAACAAAACAACCCTCAGTAAACAACTAAGACAGATAAACACAAAAGGAGTTGTCTCCAGGCTGTATGTTTTGTGTTAGTTTGGTGGGGGGTGGTACACATGCTTACAGTGCCTTTACCCTCGGTTCCCACATTGATTTAATCCATGTTTTATGTTTCATCACCACCATCAAGTAACTACACCGTAGCAGAGATCAAATTAGTCAGGATTTGTTTGATTCAGATCAGCATTAGGGGTCTAAGAAAATATTGGTGCACTTTAGTATTGCGATATTATGTTTTGTGAGACTATCAATTCTAAAAAACACTGTATGGATTTTTTAATTATTTAAAAAAAAAAAAAAAATGTATACAAATTGGTGTAATGCCACTTGATATTACAGGTTTGTGTAGCAGGAAAACAAAACACTTGTTCCAAGAGCATCAGTAACATTAGAGTCTTTAAAAAACATATTGTTAATTGACTTTTGTGTTTCATTGATAGAAGGTAACCTCAGTACAGCTAATTGAAAAGGCCTCTTCATGAAAAGCTGATAGCTTCTATCTGCCGCTTAATGTGCCACCCTTCCGGCATGACATGACACAGAACGATAAAGAGCATCCTTTGACTGATGGACAGTATCCTCACTGACATCACTTATTTGAATATGGTCTGTTGCCACATGGATTGAAGTTTTACCTACAGAAGGTTTTTCTGAACTTGGCTTTTTCGATTTAACTGGCGGACTTACTTTGATCTCTAAATGTCTCACGTGACTAATCGTGAATGGTGTTGAGTCTACTGAGCTGGAAGGGTTGTGTCTGTAGTCTCGCAGAGTTACGCCTGTAAGGGTGTGAATGTACTCGGCACATCTACGCCTCTCATACCCTCATACAGAATGTAGCAGGCATTTATCATTCGGCTGTTTTTGAGACGTGAAGGAGTTGAAGTCATCATTTTTTTATGGGAGCATAGCAATACCATGGCATGATCCAATGCTTACGTATATTTTCCTACACGATACAACTTCACAGTGCATAATGAGGGAGACTGCTTTGAAAGTGGCGTGTTGTGAAAGTTATTATTTCAACACAACCTCTTCAAGAGGAAAAGCAGGTTTCTTTTGTAAAGTATAGATTCCATATGATTCAAGTGTGTCTCAAAACAGTCCGTATGAACATTGAAGCAGGTTTCACTTGCTCTAATCCTTCCTCTTGTTTATACTGGCCATGAGTAGATCCTACATGATTTGTTTAGGGGTGCAAATTCCACAATCCTGCACGAAAATATGTATTATTTTAAGTTGATGTGAAGATATCATGAAGCTCCAGCAGTCCCAATTGTTCAAAGTCTCTTTAGCACAAAAGGTTTGGGTTAATGAAAGTGAGTTTGCGTGATGGGTTGCAGATGAGGGATAGAAACATAAAGAAGGATGTTGTTCTAAACAGTTTGTAATTAGGAATTTGGTTTCACTAACAGTCTTCTTAAGCCTCATGTTTGTACTTTACTATAAAACAACACTGAATCCATTTATCTAATTATGATGAAAAGGCTTTTTATTGTCTAACATCATTACAGCTATTGGCTTTTTATTTCTATGGTGGGAATGAAAGCTGGAACTGTCTCACAGTTAAACGTTTTTTTAACTTTTAATAATATAATTGATCTCAGCTGGTATGACTTCTAAGTCTTTAAAAGCAAACTTTACACCTGCATTAAGTTGGAACAAAGAGATAGCCATTTCTATACATTTCCTTTGTTCTGTTGTGTGGATAATAATATCATTCTAATAGCAATTGCATATAAATGTAATGATATATCAGATAGATTATTCTTTAACATTGTTGAATAAAAAAAATGTTGGTTATCTAAATGAGATTCAAACTAAAACTTTTAAATTTATTTTTTGTGAATAACTATAACCTGACGGCACAGTGTAATGAATGTTGTCTCCTTGTTTTCAGAACGACCAGCAGCTCGACTGTGCCCTGGACCTGATGAGGCGTCTGCCTCCTCAGCAGATCGAGAAGAACCTCAGCGACCTCATCGACCTGGTGAGTTTACGTCTCCGCTTCATCTGTCAGACCTCCATTACCTCTAATGAAACACACATTAAACACACAGGGTTTAGACTATTAGAAGGGGGTGTACAAATCAATTTAAGGATCCAGGTTGTGTTTATCACGCAGCATTTCAATATAAAATCTTAATAACCTTATACACATGTGACTGTGGTTGTTCCATGGTGGCTTTGGGGATAGCACAGATGCATGTTTCACTGTTCAGCCGCCTCACAGCCAGGTAGAGCAGTGAACATATTCCAAATATAGATTTCACTTCAAACTGATATAGTTATACCCTAGTTTACTGTCCTGGGATTGTTGTCTGTAAGATCTGTAGTGTGTTTGGTAGCATCACCAGAGTCTTTGAATGAGCCTCCTGTGGGTTTTTAGGTTGGTGTTTGTTATGTAATACAATGCAAGGTAACTGAAGCTTTTTTCAGCCTTTGTGGAAGTTTATTTTCTTTCTCAATCCTCCGTGTACTTGAATGACGTAACATTTCTGCCTGTACATCCATAAGTGTTTTATTTAAACTCTTATTGGTTTTCTTTTGAGGTTGTTTGACCTGTTCTGTTCATTTTAACAAAGCAGTGCCAGCTGAGTCTGAGAAATGAAGCTAAATTAGACACAAATCAAATCACACTTCTACCAGTGTTAGCATGGCACCATATGCATTATGTTCCACCCAGACCCCCACCTGCTCACCTTCCTCTTCCCTCACATTTAACCTCTCTCCCCTAGGCATAAGCTCTCTTCTCACCCATTACACTGTGTCTGCTTGTTAGCGATTATTATCAGAGCTGTCAATCACCTCCACTGCCAGGCACCTCTGCTCAAACTCTTCCTGGTGTGACTCACATGAAATCACCTCTTTCTTTCCTGTTTGTTTCACATCTCTTTGACTCCTTCTCTCTTCTCCATTTTCTCTCTTACCTCACACTTTACCAAAGGGTTTTGTCCCCCGCCCCCCCTTCCTTACCATTGTTTCCACCCGGTCTGGGCTGCCAGGTGTGTGACTGTTCGGGGGTGTGGGGGATTTTTGGGGAAACAGGGCCTCCTTTGTGTCAGTACTCTGATGCTGGAGGACATGAAGAGGGGAGTCCATGTCAGTCTGTGAGAAGTAATTTGTACCCCCTCATCCTCTCCATATTATGTTTCCAATTGATATTATATTCAAGCTCCACTGAGCAACCTCTGCTTATTGAAAAAAGCTGGTATGTGAAAGGAAGACAAGAGCTTTCAGTTCACCTTTGACCAAATGAGAGAACCAAACTCAAGGCTGCTTTTGTTTCTGCTGTCTTGTCTGTTCCTCAAGTATGCATTTCTTACAGGATGTGTAAATAGAAAAAAATAGCTTGTTCTTATGTCTCTTCTTTACACTCAAGACAAACGGAACCCTTTTTAAATAAAATGTCTTAGAATTAGGGATATTTGACCAACTTTTGAAGAAATGTATTGCTTTCCAAAACATTGTGTTGATGTTCTGGGATTTTTTTCTTCTGTTGTTTGTTTTCAGGTGCCCAGTCTGTGCGAGGACCTCCTCTCTTCTGTGGACCAGCCCCTGAAGATTGCCCGGGACAAAGTGGTGGGGAAAGACTACCTGCTCTGTGATTACAACAGAGACGGCGACTCCTACAGGTCGAGTTCATAACTGCACTTTAACCACATTAAGATCAGTTAACTGTTCTTGACAAATAGACCTATGGCAGACAACTTTTAATGTGTTTTGTATTGTTATTTTTAATACATCAGATCCCCGTGGAGTAATAAGTATGAACCTCCCATTGAAGATGGTGCTATGCCTTCAGCCCGCCTGAGGAAACTCGAGGTCGAGGCCAACAACGCCTTCGACCAGTACAGAGATCTGTGAGTAACAGCGAAGATATCCGATTGGGTGTTTTTAATAGACGGTCAGCGTTTCCCTCTATTGACCTCCATGTGTGTCTTCCAGGTACTTTGAGGGTGGCGTGTCCTCTGTGTACCTCTGGGACTTGGAGCATGGCTTCGCTGGAGTTATTCTCATCAAGAAGGCCGGCGATGGATCCAAGAAGATCAAAGGGTGCTGGGACTCCATCCATGTGGTGGAGGTGCAGGTGAGAATCAGTCGGAATGAGAGAGGTTGACATATGAACTCCTCCAGTGTTAGTTTTGACAGCTGATTTAGTATAAGTCTTATTCCTCAGACAACAATGCCTTCTGGTTTTACTCACATTTAAGTTGTTTCCATCCATCACAGTTTTAGTCTAAATGTTTTTTATTTTAGGTCACACCACCCGACCCACTTTTAGAGCCAATTTGTAGGGCCAAATGTGCAACTGGGTGTGTGTAAATAAGACACCAGAACCGGACCCAACTGGCAAACCTTATGCATAACGGAGCCAATAGTCAGGACTTAGGACCGAGACACGGGCGGATACAGAATCCGTGCCGCAGCACAGTCTGTTTGTCTGAAAGAGAAACACATAGAAACTTTAGTTATTGAAACTAGTTTTCTGCAAACGATACTCCATGCTGATAAAGCACCGTTCTTGTTTAATGACGCTGGTGCCGTCTTGTCATCGTTTCTTCTTAGTCATGGAAAAGTTTGTTGTCAAACATATGTTGTCAGTTTACTTTAACCAAATGATAACAGGCTCCTCCCAGTCTTTCTGTTTTAATATAGTAAGTCTAAACATGCAAAGACAAAAACCTGTGTGAGTTTTGCAGGTGATGTTTAAATCAGTGACACACAGGGGATCCTTTAATCCTTGGAGCGATGCAGGGTGAAACTGCAGTTTGTCTCATTGCGTGTTGTGTCTGTTGGCGAGCAGGAGAAGTCCAGCGGTCGTACTGCTCACTACAAACTCACCTCCACCGTCATGCTGTGGCTCCAGACAACCAAGACCGGCTCCGGCACCATGAACCTGGGCGGCAGTCTTACGAGACAGGTACGGTGTTGAGCTGAATGTTAAACCACCGCTGAGCCTTCTGTTGACATCCGTGAACTCAATTTGTTTAATCTTTTCACAGATGGAAAAAGACGAGACAGTTGGAGAGTCCTCACCCCACATCGCCAACATCGGCCGCCTTGTCGAGGTCAGAATAACAGCTGATATCCTGCTTCTTTCAATTTGATCTGCCTAACTAAAACAGTGATTCTACTCATCTGCAGTGACATTAGTGGAATGTATTATCATTCAAGAATAGATGTCCTGAACATTACACTGTGGATATTTATTAAAACATTACTTTTTTTTTAAGTGCCTACAAGTTTTCTGTTTTCAAAAAGCATTTATCTTAAAATGTTGTCATTGTAAACTGGAAAAAAGTCAGACTGATAGCTAGAATGTTTTAATTCTTGTTTCAGGATATGGAGAACAAGATTCGCTCCACACTGAATGAAATCTACTTTGGCAAGACCAAGGACATCGTCAACGGCCTAAGGTAACAGCACATGAGTAGTTTGGATGAGTAAACCCCTAAACCCCCCCCCCCTCTCGTTTTACAGCGCCTCAGTCAGCTGTTCTGCAGAGACTCTGTTCGTCTTCTTCTACCTGAGTTGGTTTACTTCTGAGTCTCCGTCTGTCGGCTTGTTCAACAGACATTTCTGTCATTTCTTATCTGATCATTTATTTGATTTATTACTCTTCTCAGTTGCTTTTCTTTAATGGTGGACAGTAAGTTAGTACCATTAATAAATTACGATTTTAAGTTTGCAACTTTACGCTTCACCACTTCCCTGAGGCAAATATTTTACCTTTTTACTCTATTATATGTATTTGATAACTTGAGTTACTTAATTGACCACTTGCTAAAATTCATAAATGACCCAACAGTATATAATAAAATACAAGTTTACTAGCTGCAACATTAAAGTGGTGAGCACATAGAGGCATCAACAATAATGATTAAATACCAGAGTAACAGAGCGTTGCTGCATTTCCATATTAATTATATTAATCATATTTCATTGTTAACTTTAAACACTGTCAGTAACTGATCTGAGTATTTTGTCCACCACTGCATATTTTTCTGTATTCTCCCCACCTCCACTCTCCCCTAGCCATCTCTTCAACCTCTCCTATGATTTCATTTTTCTTATGTCTTCTCTCCCACATTTTGCCTCCATTCTTCTCCCTGTCTGTCCTCCTGTCTGTCCCCCTGTCTCTCCCTCTGTCTCCTCTCCTCTCCTCCTGTCTCTCCTCTGTGCTCCAGATCTATTGAGTCTTTGCCCGATAACCAAAAGTACCGGCAGCTCCAGAAGGAGCTGTCGCAGGTCCTCACTCAGCGTCAGATCTTCATTGACTAGGTTCAGAGGTACAACCTGGCATGGAGAAGTGTGTATGTGTGTGTGTGTGTGTGTATGTGTGTGTGTGTGTGTGTGTATCATTGTGTACTGGTAAGTCAAACACAGGAAAAAGTGACTGTTTCTCATCCCTTGCTGCTCCTCTCTCAGATGTCCCACTGTACTTAAAGGAAGGAAGCGAGCAAAGTTAAAATAATACAGTATTTTAGACTTTTCTTACAATCAAAACTGTTCACTCTAATCAATCATGATAACACCAAAGGGGATTACTTTCTAACTCAATTAATATCTGAACTCTTCTCCTGCTTCTCTCATCCGGAAAGTTCTCTAATAAAAAGAGAAGTCTTATCTAATTACAGAAGTATAGATATCTTTCTTTCAGGAGCAAAAGGCCGACTCTATTACATACCCCAGCATTAAACAAAACTAGCCACAAAAACCTGATAGAAAATATTTTGAAAGCTTCCCAAGGACCTTAAAGGACTTTCATTTCCTGAGGAATATCACAACTCTGCCTTTTTTAAACACAGAATTAACCTTTTTGGCAAACTCAATTTTATATCACTGAACCCTAGGATATTTGTAAAGGCATTCTGATTTCCGATGTGAATTGGTGAGACCCATCTGTTCCTCCTTTGTTTTTTTAAAACGGCTTGATAATACTAATGTTTAGATTCCCATAAAAAAAGTATATTGGACGGTAGATTGTTGAGATGTATATACACATTTTATCTACAACAAATAGATGCTGGAGGTAAAACATTTCTTTTAGTGTATGTGAGTGTGTGTGTGTGTGTGTGTGTGTGTGTGTGTGCAGGACTTTGCTGCATGCTCCTCGGAGTGTTTAGCAGCTGTGACGGCATGTTGTGCAGGTTTTGTTTGTTTACCTTTAAGTCTAACAAACAATCGCCGAGAGGGAGCGACACACTAACCATGTCAGAGTATTCAAAGCCGTCACCAACGCTGCTGTTCGGCTGTCTGTTGGCCTTATAAGGTTTTCTAAAATGTTGTGTTTATTCTGTGTGGAGAATGTTTTCCTATCAAAGTAAAACACATTTATAAAGTGTTTGTGAGTGAAAAAACTCATCACAGAGAAATCCGATTGGCATAGGTATTCTCCACCCTCTGTTCAACAGCTTTACACCTTTTTATTGTGAATGAGCTTCAATAGATGAAGGGAAACTGAGGGACAGAGCCTAACTTTAATATATTCATTGTGTATATATTCCTATTTTGTTTCAACATTCTAATACATATACAAATGTTCTGCCTGTACACACGCAGATTACAAATTCTAGGTGGTCCTAAAACATTCTTTAAATGTCACTTATTGAAACCTGCAGGCACCTTGTTTATAATCTCAGATGGTTAAGCATCTTCAGATACCTCAGAGTTCAACATAGTGCATAATGTGAAGTATAATGAATCCTGCTTTAAGACAGGTAAAGCACACGGTTTAACTGCATGATGGAAAATAACTGTTATTGATGTGCCTGACACTAATGCCCCATGTGTGCAGTGTGTGTGCATTCAGTGTGTGATAATACATATTTTTCTCCACAGAGAAGGAGTTGGGACGTGTGGTCTGACTTATAGATTCAGCTCATCACTTTTTCTCTTCAACTTGTGTTTTGGTGTCACTGGAGAAGCTTTTCCAGTCTCGCTGTTTTCACGTTTGATCTAGCACTGACTGTCTCTTCTCTCTTTGTCCCCCCCCCCACAGGAGTGTTCAGACTCTGGCTGACAAGTCAAAGCAGGAGGCTCTGAAGGTCGACCTGATGGAGGCACTCAAACGCAAACAAAACAGCTAGAGTTGCTACTGTTAGTTTTTTTTTTTCTGTCTCTCTCACTCTCTCCGCCTCATCTCCGCCATCTTTTCTCTGTTTCTCTTTGTCTCTCCCTCCACGCCTGTTTCAGTGCTGCACTCTTGTTTCTTTGTGGAAAAAACAAAAAAGGAGAAAATGCTTAGCTTTTTATTTGTTTTTGTTTTTCTGTCTGGTTTTTTGTTTTCATGCATCTCATCTGCCATGAAGCCAGTCCCTCACGCTCCCTCTGTCTCTCTCCACCTCTCTCCCACGTTCTGAATATAATGATAGTATTACCACGGTTAATGATAATCTTACAGTGTGAGGGTCATTGTTGTAATAATCCCTGATGTTCTCACAGCCGATGTGTCCTCGGTCAGTTTCAAACTCGCAACTTTGGCCCGGCTCTTCCTCCGTGTCCAGGAAGCGGACACAGACTGTGCTGTAGGTGGTGTAGGCTCGGTGGGGCTGTCATTATGTACATCAAATTGATTTCAAGCACCTACTTTTGTCTACGACACCCCTGATATATTTGTATAAAATTATTACTGTTGGCGTATTACTGTCATTCTTCTTAGTAAATGGTGTGAACACGAGGGCGGCCTTCGGTTTATGTTAGAAGGTTTTTACTTTAATTCCACTCATGCATGTGAGCCTGTGTGGTGCTGCAGTGAGTGGAAATGTAGACTTATCAAACATGGGGATGGACTGTTATAATCACCGGGTGATTACACCCATATGTCAACCCAACCCCCCCTACACTGTGTATAACATGACAGTCAGCCCCCCCTCTATTCAGCTTGTTCAACTTTTCTCTCCTCACCTACAGTACTATGTCTTTGTTGGGGGTCACAGTTTGTCTTTGTGTCTCAGTGGAAACCTTTGACTGTTTCCATTTTGGAGGGGAATCTTTTTTGTTGTATTTTTGTTTTGTTTTTATTTTGTAAAGCTTATGATTCATATTGTATTAGAGCCTCCAGCAACAATAAAAACAGTAAAAAGCTACTCTTGCTATTATTTGTTTTATTTTTCTAGTTGAAAGGTATCGGCAGTTAAAGGCTTTAAATTGCTCTTAAAGTAGGGAGAAAAAAAATCCGTTTTGTTTCAAAATAATAATAATAATACTGTATTTAACATGTAACCTCAAGTTAGTTTTCTTATTTTGCCCACTGAATGTCTAAATTTTTTAAAGTAGTCATTTTTATCTGCATCTGTCAGTAGACCATCACTATAACAGTAGGCGTACACATTTTTTAATTTACTACAGGACACTTGAGATATATAGGACTGTCTCAGAAAATTAGAATATTGTGATAAAGTTCTTTATTTTCTGTAATGCAATTAAAAAAACAAAAATGTCATACATTCTGGATTCATTACAAATCAACTGAAATATTGCAAGCCTTTTATTATTTTAATATTGCTGATTATGGCATACAGCTTAAGAAAACTCAAATATCCTATCTCTAAATATTAGAATATCATGAAAAAGTATACTAGTAGGGTGTTCAACGAATCACTTGAATCGTCTAATTAACTCGAAACACCTGCAAGGGTTTCCTGAGCCTTGAAAAACACTCAGCTTGGTTCAGTAAACTAAATCACAAGTATGGGGAAGACTGCTGATCTGACTGCTGTCCAGAGGACCGTCATTGACACCCTCCATCAGGAGGGTAAGACACAAAAAGAAATTTCTCAAAGAGCAAGCTGTTCACAGAGTGCAGTTTCAAAGCACATCCACAAAAAGTCTGTTGGAAGGGGGAAATGTGGCAGGAAACGCTGCACAACCAAGAGAGATGACCGCAGCCTTAACAGCATTGTGAAGAAGAGTCGCTTCCAGAATTTGGGGGAGCTTCAAAGACAGTGGACTGAAGCTGGAGTCCAGGTATCAAAAGTCACTGTTCACAGACGTGTCCGGGAAATGGGCTACAATAGCCGTATTCCCATGGTCAAGCCA